AGGGAGAATGTGAGGTTTGTGGCAATTTCATGGGCAGGATTTGTTGGCTTATGAAAAATAAGACCCACAGAACATTATTTCACCACGAGAACCATTCCTACAACATGCTGTCTCATGACTGGCCACCCCTGGCTGATGGCCAAGTAACATTCAGCCAATCAGAACTCATCGATCAGTGCTCAAGAGCCAACTAGAAATGATCGGTGTGGCACTTTACAAGCAGAGTAGAAGGGGGAGAGAAATCAGCCACCTATCTGCTGGTGCTCCTTGTCCTTGCCTTTCTCTACCTGGGAAGACATCCCCTGTGGACTGACTGCCTTACCTGGGCTCCCTTGCTCTCTGGCTTCCGGTTGGGCTTGGTCAAGGGAAGCCCTGGCAGAAGACTGGAGCAGAGAGGAGGGAGAGGTGGGGCATTTCTTCCACACTCCCTCTGTTTCTCACTGCAGTTCTGAGAGTGGGGAGCAGGGAGAGGTGGCCATGTTTCTCCTGCACCTCTCCTGTGTTTCTCCTGTGAAACCCCCCTCACACGAGGCTAGCTGTCACTCTCTCTTCTTCCCCTCTGGACGTGCGGGTGGTAATGGCTTCCTGCAGTTGGCTGCTGGTCTTGGGGTGCCTCACCAGCCCTGCCTAAACAGCCCCTCTGCTAAATGCTTTCCAGCTAAGCCCTGAGTGTTTCCTGCCAGGACCCTGGCTAATACAAACCATAATCTGTGACTCGTATATAAGTATAAGGTGATAACTGCAAAGACGGCTGGGTAGGGAGAATGTGACCAGACATCTGACTTCATTATGAATGCTACTGTGGACCTTAATAGAACCCAGGGATGCTATGCCACTGCCAGGGCCTGAACACAGGCAACTCGCAGACCACTTTCTCCCTGGGCCCTTCTCTAGAGCCACCTGTGAAGAGATGGACAGACTGGTGGGGGACCTGGACCCAAGAAGGCTGCCACAGCCCCAAGGTGGCAATGGCTCTCCTGAGCAATAGCTTTGGATCTTGGGGTTGGGGGTGTTGGGTGGTTGCTAAAACTATTTCCAAAGCAGGTAGGCTTGGCAGCCTTGAAAAGGAGCGCTGTGTGACCTTGGGCAGATCACATCCCCTCTCTGGACCTTTTCTGTTTGTTAATAAAGGACGTCGCTTGGTCTCTCTCTCTCTCTTTTTTTTAGTCAGGGTCAGACTGTCACTCAGGCTGGAGTGCAGTGGCATGATCATGGCTCACTGCAGCCCTGACCTCCTGGGCGAAGGGATAAACCCTCCTCCGCCTCCTGAGTAGCATGGACTACAGGTGTGCACCACCATGCTTAGCTAATTTTTTGATTTTTTTGTAGTGACGAGGTCTTGGTGTGTTGCCCAGGCTATTGGCTTGGACTCTAAAGTTCCTTCTTGGTCAGATGTTCAGGGCTTCTGCTCTGCTGTCATCAGCCACAAGGCCTTAATCCCACCGTTTGAAGGCATTCCTTCAGGTTGTAGAGTCTCAAAGAATCTTTTTTTTTTTTTTTGAGTTGGAGTCTCACTCTGTCGCCCAGACAGGAGTACAGTGGCACACTCATGGCCACCCCTGCATCAACCTGTTGGGCTCTGGTGATCCGTTCGCCTCAGCCTTCCAAGTTGCCGGAACTACAGGCACGTGCTACCGCACCTGGCTAATTTTTGACTTATTGTAGAGACAAGGTCTCGCCAAGTTGTCTGGGCTGGTCTCGAACCCGCAGGCTCAGACAATCCACTAGCCTCGCCTGCCAAAGTGCTGGGATTATAGGCTGAACCACTGAGCCCGGCCCCTTAAGGAATCTTTATTAAAATAGCAAGCACACAAGGAGGGAAGATGCATTATTTTAACGTGTCTCCAACTTTCCCACCAGCGTGGAGAGGAATGTACAGACTGGGAACAGCCTACATGGTATATCTCAAGAGTGAAGTACCTTTGAAATCTCTCATGCGCTCTTTGAAAGCTCATATGGATTTTACATCCTTCTCTGTAATGCATTCGTGTTTGTTTTCACTAAAGATAGTGGTGGGGTCCCCAAATATTTGAACAAAGATGACCGTCAGGGAAGGCTGCTGTGTTGATCCAGTGGCTCTGCGTGGTCCTGGACGTGGTCATGAGGACCCGCCACCGATGAGGAGCCTGGCCTCCAGTCCTCCTGAACCCCCCTCACCGGCCAGCAAGAGCACAAGAGCACCACCTTGCAGGAAAAAGGCTGGATTCTAGCCTTGCCGTCGGGGACGGGGGTGCTGACATCGCCCACCTTCCTAGACTCATCTCCCAGACGCCCTGGAAGTGGATCTTACTGTTGTTCAGGCTGCAGGGCCTGGCCCTCAGAGTCCCTCCTGCCCTGAGACCAGGCCTGGGTTTGGGTGGGGGAAGATGGGTCTAACTTCCCGTGGCCTCTGGAGTGAGGAGGAAGTCGGTGGCCTGAAGGTCCTCTCAGCTGAGCCCTTCCTACCCTGCCCTGGTGTTGAGGAAATGGGTTTGAGGTTTCTGGACCGTGGCCCTTGGGCAATGTTCTGTGTCTTACCCTGACATAGCCCCAGGAGGCTCGGTGGTGGGCAGTGTGCTGGGGAAGAGGGAAGTGGAAGGGGGTGCTGGACCCAGCTCAGGTGCTCAAGCCCTTTGGGAAGGGGTTGGTGGGACAGTTGCTCCCCTCCCTCCAATCCCAGGCTCTCCCCACCTGCTAGGCCCTGGGGCCGAGAGACTCTGGTTTTCTTTTTTTTGAGTCAGAGTCTCACTCTGTAACCCCAGTCTGAGTGCAGTGGCACGCTCATGGTCACTGCAGCCTCGACCTGCTGGGCTCAGGTGATCCTTCTGCCTCAGCCTTCCGAATAGCGGGAAACACAGGCACAGAGACTCTGATGTCAAGGGGGGCCCGGGCAAGGGCAGGCCAGGAAGGGTTGAGAAAGAAAGGGGCTCTAGGGTCTCACCCTTGAGTGACCCCACCTCTGTCAGAGGATGGCTGGGTAGGAAAAGGGCCCAGTGTTGCCTCACTTCAGTTGGCTTTGTACCTTCCCTGGTGGAAGAGCGCTCTAACACTGCCAGCAGGAAGGGCGCTGGGCTGTCTCCCATGGTAGGGTCACAAGGCCAAGATCGTGCCCGAGGACCTGGGTTATGGCCTGGCAGCCTCCAGGGCTCCTATCCCTGGGGAGTTCCTGGCTCCAGGGGGCCTGGGCCTGCACAAGGTCACCTAGCAATAACATGATGCCCTGCCCTTCTGCTGGTGCAGTCTTCTCTGCCCCAGGAGCAAGACCCAAGAGCCCCCAGAGAGTTGGTGACTTGGATCAGGACACCCCCAGGGCATCCAGAACTCCTGGCTCCCACCTAGTCCTACTGCCCTGATTCCTGACTCAGCCGGTCTCTGGCGGTCCTCTAACCCTTTAGCCTGGGGTCATCGATGAACTCGAGATCCCGAAGGGGCCAGCAAACCCCTGTACACTTCAGCCAGGCTTGAGTCAACTGAGTAACATGAATGTGTCCTTCCGCTTCTTGTCATCTATCCCAGCCACGGTCACCACATTCTTCCATCACGCAATCTCTCACTTATTCACTGGTCTGTGCATTCAGACAAGGGCTCAGTAAACACCCTCTCCGTGCCCAGCTGTGTGCCGGAGACCCAGAAACATCAGGGAGGGGCTGTGGTCCCCAGAATCTCATAGTCTGGCTTGGGAAGGCAGACCAGTCGGCTCAAGAACCAGCTGGTGGGTAACCTCAGGCTAGGTGTGGTAGTTGAAGGGAGTGTGGACGGTAAAGGGTCAGTGGAGGGGGTAGGGAGAAGGGCAGGTCGGAGCACTTTGTAGAGGGGAGGAGGAGGAGAGAGGAGAGCCATGCCCAGGGGTGCCGCAGTGCTGGGAGAGGGCACAAGGGCAGAGGCACTAGAAGCACGGGTCCTGCGGGTATCCAGGACACTGGGGAGTGAGAGCTGGTGCAGAGGCAGGGGAACAGCCAAGCCTGCTGGGGGAGAGGGCTCAGATGATCTCCTGTGGGACACACCAACAGACCCTGCATGCTGCACATGGGTGTCCTGTGCCGGGATGTACCCAGCCTGCTGTGCACTCCTGCACCTGTTCCATACGTATGCGCATGCGCACTGGGTATTTCTGGCTTTGCATCTACAACTAAGTTGGCTCCAATTTTGCCTAGGTTCGCAATGTCAGATTTCATTCATTCATTCAGTCATCCCACAACTGGAAGTGCCTAGGGCATGCCCATCCCTGCGCTGGCTGGAGGATGTAAGGTACAAGTCCCTGCTCCCAGACTGCTCAAAGACTGGTGGGTGGGGACAGATACAAATCGCAATCATATGTGTCCTGCTGAGTTAGGCGTAGATCTATTCTCGAGCTGTGGGACAATAAGAATCCTCTCCAAAAAGGGCAGTAGAAAGAGCTTTAAGCCGGGCTCGGTGGCTCAGCCTGTCATCCCGCGCCTTTGGGAGGCTAAGGTGAGTGGA